TTTTATTGGCTGGTTATCATATCAACTGATTCTCATCGAATTTCACAAGAAATATCTATTTCGGTTGTTTAAATTATTACTGGTTAGCCAAAAGTGCAAAGTCAAATCGAGAGGAAAAACTTTCGCGAAACCAAAGCTTGATTAAGTTGCGCTTATTCTGGCGAAGATCAAGGAATGATCTTGAACTTTATATCAATCTCTTACTCTTCTTCCACTCTAATTTAATTCCAACTCGTCTTAAATGTCTAAAAATGTCTAAAAATGTACTCTGCATAAGATCACAAGAGAGTATCATCGGAATAAACCAGTTAACATTCATATTCATTATACAGCAAATATGGTAACAATTAAAACTTAATTAACATCACCAATCGGTGTGAAAATATCTAATGAACCTTATTTAGATTAATCAATAAATGTATTAATACGTCAAATTTTTTGTTTGCATGTTCAAATTATTGATCAAATTTAAATACTTATTTGACGTGAAACGGCTTTGATATGCAAAAATTTTTCAAAGAACGAATTGAGTTATATTTTATAGTTATTATATCTAATATTAGTTAAATTTTGTCAATCTCAATAAAGTTTCAAATTGACATCTGAATAGTTATATCATGACAGAAATTCTTACTAATATTTAGTGCAGAATGTTTTTATTGAAAAGACTATTCACACTTCTCTGTATAATTGTGTGTTCATATCAGTTATACTTTACAACAATGGATTATCTTGAATTTAATGTTATCACATTACTTGATATTGATTTTCCCGATTGGCTTACCGCTCCTGATATAACATTTTGTGTGCAGTTTTTAGATGCAGTCAATTGGACGGCTTGGGCAATTCACCATCCAGATTTATTACCTGATAACTGTACAATCATAGACGATGTGAAGGAAAACAGATCAGAACATATTCGTCAATGTTTCACCGATATGGGAGCAGACGATTTCGAAGGATTTGTCGAACAACATTTTACTGTTGCTAAGTTTTACAAACTAGTAATCAAAGCTGATTCACTATTCAAGGATATCATAATTTACAATAAAACAGGAAATTTCAACGGTTTACAACGAAATCACGAGATATTTTGTACAACTAGGACTTATCATAGAGATCCTCATGTTTGCTATCATGTTGCTTGTCGTTATGGTACCAATTATTCGGATTATATACGATTCAATAGAAGTAGATTAATACATTCGCCAAATCCTGGTGCAATGTACCATGTAGATTTATATGATGAAATCTTCAAGTCATGGGATGACGTAATGTTTTACATCCACTCGCCGTTGGATTTACCTCGTGGACCTTTACAATCTTATACAGTGGTCAAACCGAAAGAGAAACCGAGTTTATTTTTAATAAGTTATATCAGGGTAATAGACAATCTACTTGAACCACCATATGCAACTAACTGTAAGAATTATCATCATAATGTTGACGGTACTCGATCATTAATGCACAAATATGAGAAATGCTTAAATAACCAAACACTTAAATTGGATCCAAGTTTTGTAATGTACCGGACGATGATTGAGAATCCACAAAAAGTTGAAGCCAATTTTTCTTATAGATTAAGATACAAACATAAAGATAAACTCAACGAGATTCGAACTGAATGTGAAAGATTGGTGAGACAACCAGAGTGCAAAAGCTTACATTACATACCATATGTGATAGGCCATGAGCGATACTTGTATTTTCTTGAAAACCATCAAAGCGCTTTTTTAATTTTTGCTCCAGAGAATCCTGATATAAAATTGAAAAAGTCACCAGTCTTTATTTTGGAGACTTATGTTGTCAGCATTGGTTCCATTCTTGGTATTTGGTTTGGTTTCAGCATGGTACATCATTTAGGTTCATTGGGGAGTCACTTATTAAAGCTAAAAAATATCACCAGACTTGTGTGGTATAGTATTTATCATCGTCATGAAAAACCACTAAGGAAATCAGTTAACTTAAATGGTGAACAAATGAATCAAAAACAAAAGACTGTCGATCTTCCAACTATTATATATTACCGAACACATCATTCACGAGCCAGAACTGCTATCGGGGATAGCAATAGGATTATCTCAAACTAGAGGATCTAGAATAATAATAATCTTAACGCCTCTTTGTTTCACTAGCCCTGGTGATGAAAATAAATCCAACATTTCATACTTTATTTTCCTACCTTTGAGTGATCATTACATCAATTGGATAATCTCAATGATTATCATCACAAGGAATATCTATTTCGGTTGTTGAAGTTAGTTTTGGTCTACTGTAAGTGCAAAGTCAAATCACTGGAAAAACTTTCATCAACTGGTAACTAATAATTTCTAGAGGCCAGAAAAAAGGTCAAATTCAAATAATGTAATGTAATAATCTGAGCGGAAAAGGCGAAGAATGAATCTTCTTCGTATATTTTCTTCTTTATGTTACTTTCCTAATGGTTACCATCAATACAATAATGTACCATGCACTAATATTCATAATACATTTATGGTTAACAATTAAAACTTAATTAATATCATCAGTCGATGAATAATTGAAATATCTAATAAACCGTATTTAGGTGAATCACCAAATATATAGACAAAATTTTCACAAAAATTGTCTCAATATTTAACAATTTTTTGTTTGCATGTTCAACTTATTGATCAGATTTTGAATATGTATTTGACGTGAAACAACTTTTGTATGCAAACTTTTCATAATGAAATGTTTATCAACCTCAATAAAGTCTCAATTCGACATCTGAACAGTTTAATTTGGACGAACAGAAAATCTTACTAATATCTAGTGCAAAATGTTTTTATTGAAAAAGCTATTCACAATTATCTGCATAATTGTATGTTCATATCAGTTGTACTTTACAACAATGGATTATCTTGAATTTAAAGTTATCACATTACTTGATATTGATTTTCCCGATTGGTTTACCGTTCCTGATATAACATTGTGTGTGCAGTTTTTAGATGCCGTCAACTGGACGGCTTGGGCAATTCACCATCCAGATTTGTTACCTGACAACTGTACAATCATAGACGACGACAAGGGAAACAGGTCAAAACATATTCGTGCCTGTTTGGCTGAGATGGGAGCAGACGATTTCGAAGGATTTGTGGAGCAACATTTTACTGTTGCTACATTTTTTGAAATAGTCATCAAAGCAGAATCACTATTCGAAGATATCACATTTTACAATAAAACAGGATTTTTTAACAGTCGTCAACCAAATCACGAGATTTTTTGTACAATTAGAACTTATCTTAAAGATCCTCATGTTTGTTATCATGTTGCCTGTCGTAATGCTACCAATACAACGGATTTCATAAGATTCCATAGAAATAGATTGGTACACCCTAATCCTGGTGCAATGTTTAATTTCGACTTACATAATGAAATCTTCAAGATATCCGACCACGTTTTTGTTTACATACACTCACCGTTAGATTTAGCTCGAGGTCCTTTCCAAACTTATACAGTCATCAAACCAAAAGAGAAACAAAGTTTATTTTTAATCAGTTTTATCAAGATAATAGACAATCTACTTGAGCCACCATATCAAACTAACTGTAAGGATTATCATGATGCTGTTGGAGGTACCCGATCACTAATGCACAAGTATGAGCAATGCTTAAATAACCAAACACTTCAACTGGATCCAAGTTTTATTATGTACCAGACAATAATTGAGAATCCACAAGAAGTTGAAGCCAATTTTTCTAATAGATTGAGATATAAATATAAAGACAAACTCAACGAGATACGAACTGAATGTGGAAAGTTGGTAAGACAACCAGAGTGCAAAAGCCTATATTACATACCATATGTCATAGGCCATGAGCGATGGCTTAATGTTCCTGAAAACCACCATAGCTCTTTCTTGATTTTCGCTCCAACCACTCCTGATATAAAGTTGTCAAAATCACCAGTTTTTTTTTGGAGACTTATGTTGTCAACATTGGTAGCATTCTCGGTATTTGGTTTGGTTTCAGTATGGTACATCATTTAGGTTCGTTGGGGAATCACTTATTAAAGCTAAAAAATATCAGTAAACTGGTGTGGGATATTTGTCTCCGTCATGAAAAACCACCAAAGAAATCAGTTTACTTAAATTGTGAACAAATGAATCAAAAACAAAAGACTGTCGATCTTCCAACAATTATGTATTACCAAACACATGGTTTATTAAGCCGAACCAGAGCTTCTATTGCTGAAAGCCGTAAGATTAGTGAGTCGCGCTGTTCGCAGTCTATAAGATCGAGATATGTTACAGACATTATGTAATGATTAATAAACATCGATCAACTGAGATTTACTCTCAAATTTTGCTTTACATCTTTCTGTTTATACACAATCTGAATGATTGCTGTTATAAAAATTGAAACTCACATTTCTGCCTTTATTTTGTCTTTAGAAGATTTCCCGTAATATTACAGAATAATTCCAAACAATTATTGAACAGCTTTGTGGACATTTCAAGACAAGACAAATTTAGATCACGAGATATAATGGGCAGCGAAACAAATAATAACCTTAAGGCCTTATTGTAGCACTGTTTTTTGTATTGAAAATAAATAAAACATATCAATAAAACATGTACCTTATACCATAGATCAGATCAGAGAAGAAGAGAGTATCAGCAGCATAAACCAGTCTGCATTAACATTTATATTCATAATAATAGCAAATATGGTAACAATTAAAACTTAATTAACCTCACCAATCCGTCTGAAAATATCTAATGAACCCTATTCAACCATTAAATATATAAATGCGTCAAAATTTATTTGTTTGCATGTTCAACTTATCGATCTTTAAATGTGTAGTTGCCGTGAAATTGGTTTTATATGCAAATTTTTTCAAAGAACGAGATTGAGTTATCTTTTATAGTTATTATATCTATTATATTATTAGTTAATTTTTGTCAATCTCAATAAAGTTTCAAATTGACATTTGAATAGTTATATCATGACAAACAGCAAATCAGCAAACAGCATACTATTTGATGAAAAATGTTTTTATTGAAAAAGCTATTCACAATTTTCTGTATAATTGCATGTTCATATCAATTATACTTCACAACAATGGATTATCTTGAATACAATGTTATCACATTGCTCGATATTGATTTTCCCGATAGGTTTACCGCTCCAGATGTAACAATGTGTATACAGTTTATAGATGCCGTCAACTGGACTGCTTGGGCAATTCATCATCCAAATTTGTTGCCAGACAATTGTTCGATCATAGACGATGTGCAGGAAAACAAGCCAAAACATATTCGTGAATGTTTCACCGATATGGGAGCAGCCGATTTCGAAGGATTTGTCGAGAAACATTTTACTGTTGCTAGGTTTTACAAGCTTGTAATCAAAGCAGAATCACTATTCGAGGATATCATAATTTACAATAAAACAGGAAATTTCAACGGTTTACAACGAAATCACGAGATATTTTGTACAACTAGGACTTATCTCAAAGATCCTCATGTTTGTTATCATGTTGCCTGTCGTAATGCTACCAATTCAGTGAATTTCATACGATTCAATAAAAGTAGCTTGATACACGCACCAAATCCTGGTGCAATGTACCATGTAGACTTATATGATGAAATCTTCAAGTCATGGGATCACGTCTTTGTTTACATCCACTCGCCGAGATATTTACCGCGTGGACCTTTACAATCTTACGCAGTCGTCAAACCGAGAGAAACCCCAAGTTTATTTTTGATCAGTTATATCAGGGTAATAGACAATCTACTTAAGCCACCATATGCAACTAAATGTAAGGATTATCATCATGATGATGAAGGTACCAGATCACTAATACACAAGTATGAGCAATGCTTGAATAACCATACACTTAAATTGGATCCAAGTTTTGTAATGTACCAGACGATGATTGAGAATCCACAAGAAATTGGAGCCAATTTTTCTAATAGATTAAGATATAAATATAAAGACAAACTCAACGAGATAAGAACTGAATGTGAAAAATTGGTAAGACAACCAGAGTGCAAAAGCTTATGTTACACACCTTATGTTATAGGCCATGAGCGATTTCTTATTGCTGACGAAAACCATTTTTATGAAAACCACTCCAGCGCTTTCGTAATTTTAAATTGGTAAAATCTCCAGTTTAGATTGAAAAAGTCACCAGTCTTTATTTTGGAGACTTATGTTGTCAGCATTGGTTCCATTCTCGGTATTTGGTTTGGTTTCAGCATGGTTCATCATTTAGGTTCATTAGGGAGTCACTTGCTAAAGCTAAAAAATATCAGCAAATTTTCGTGGAATAATATTTGTCATCGTGATGAAAAACCACTAAAGAAATCAGTTAACTTAAATTGTGAACAAATTAATCAAAAACAAAATACCGCTGAACGTCCAGCTATTGTGTATTACCGAACACATGGTTTATTAAGCCGAGCCAGAGCTGCTATTGCTGAAAGCCGGAGGATTAGTGAGTTAAGCCGTTTATAATTGTTTTCATCTGTTTTATTGACTGACTATTTTTGATATCAGTTGATTAATAATAATGCTAATTGTTATTACAACCCAAACTTACTTTATTTTTATTTAAAAGTTGTTACCCAAAAACCCCAGAGTTTACTTTTGAGCTAAATCAGCTTCACCGTTACAATGCCTTTGATAATAGCTGCATCGAGAGCAAGAATCTTGAAAAATTATCCTATTTTTGTTTTGATGAAACAAAAAAAACATAGTTCTGGATGAAAAACAATGATAATAACATCATCAACACCATTATAGTGTAAAATCTTTTGAGGATTGGAAAATTGAAAACAATGAAATGTTTTGTTTTTTTTCTATTGCTGTTGCTGGAACACTTTTGAATCAAATGATAAATTGGCTTGGATGAAAATAAACAAAGGTATGGTTAAATTTACAATGAATATTCATTGAAAAAAAAGCTCAACGTACATGATGCTTGAATTGAAATTAATTTGTTATTTTTTCCTCTTTTTTTAGTGAATGTTATGACGAAGATAAGATGATAAAAACAATGGTGAGATGACTTTGCTAAAGAATTAAGAAAAAAGGTCTTTGCTTTCTTCTTATTCAGAGTATTCCAGTCAACATAATCTATCTTCTTGTTTTTGCTGTCTAAAGTGTTATTCTCAATAGAAATGGAGGGAATTTGATGATGAACATTTAAATGGTTAAACCAATCGTTTTCATGGTTAACTGAATCGGATTTGGAGGCAAGAAATTCTCATCAAATCTCAAGGGAAGAAGACAAAGGAGGAAGAAGGAAAGAAAAGCTCACAAATATTCCTTATTTTGTTATCCATTTTGGGTCGCAAGAAAGCCAGGCAAAGATGAAAATGGTACATCGATTTTTGGATTGGTCCTTATTATTGTTGCTATTATTAATAATAAGATGTTCGTTGATTCTTGTTATTGTTCAATTTTGTTTGGTAAACATTTATTTCTCGAAAAGGAAGACAATTTTGATCAAGAAAATTGATAAAAGCCCAACACAATTCATCTTGTATCTTCACTTGGCATTTGAAAAAACACAAAGAGACTTGGAAAAATTCAAACATAAAGATTAACTCGATCGTTTAAAATCAAATATACCGACGATTCTGATTCAAATATCAATGGCTAAAGCTGTAATCCATTTGGTCAATGGTTCCATAAATCGTCCAGCAACATCAAGAGCAAAGAGCAATTTTCAATTTTAATGATGACCTTAGAGATTCTCAAGACGATGTCAAACCATCAACAATCTAATTTGGTTATAAGCTGAAATGTGAATTATTGGTACCAAAATGGTGGAAAAATTTGCGACCAAATTGATTGCAAGCTCACCCAAATTTGCAGCTTCATCATTAAACTAATCATACTGATCATCATATTTTTCCCAAGGCACTACTAAACCATATTTATCCTTCATAATAATACAATTTACAATGATTTTTGATGACTGTGAAGATGGGAAAGGATAATGAAGAGCCAGGAAGATGAAGCAAGGAATCAGCCGATGTTACCATTTCAACCTTCCCTTTGAGTTGATAAATTAACGGTGAAAAAAATAGCCTGATGATAATGACTTGGCCTAAGCTTCTTAATACTTTTTACCCTTCATCCTAATCATCATCATTATCATGTATTTTTATTTTTCATCTTGCCATCTTCAATCAGCTTAAGGGTAGACAAAATTGTCTGAAAACAAGTCATTACAAATCAAAATAAAAGAGATTTGCCATGAAAAGGTTTTATCACAATAATACAATGAAGATGGTTTAGATGATGAATAAACTCAACCCCTGAACCAAATTTATATTGAACAGAGATGAATATGATTAGTGAATGTTTACTTTACCTGAATGCTGATAAATTATGAAATATCAACCAAATGGAAATGTATTTTTTTTGCTGTTTGACAATTTTAATGAAATTGTTTTTTTCTCCTTCTTCTGTCATGTTTCTTTCAAAGGTAAACACAAATTTTAAACATGATAACAAAATGTGAATTTACGATGCCAACTAAATTATATTTATTGAATCAAAGAGTAATCAAAAAGGTAGACAAGTGGAAATACATTTGCATGATTAAAAGGTAAAATACTGATTGGATAAATTGTGACTATCCTTTTGAATCAGTACTTTTGATGCAGCTTGTGCAGATCCACTTGAAGTAACTCTCATTAAATTGGCAAGTTTGTTGACATATACAGTCAACATGAGAGATATGATTATTTTCATGATATGAATGAGCCTGATGATGAACAAAATGAGTTTTAAATCAATAGAGACAAAAAAAGATGGTAAAATTAGGAGTAAATTTTAAATCATATTAACTTTTTTCCTGCTTTTCCTTCCTTCATTGTTGTTAGTTATTTCATCTTTACTCTTTTTTTTCAAGTTTCTTGGTGAATTCATGGAACCATAAACAAATCTAATTTGTCCAGCTTAATTTAGTTACATTTATTCAAAGATAAATAGATATAATGATGAAAAAAAAGTCAAAAAATCAAGTTGAAATTAACGAACCAATGAATGGATTTGATTAAATTGGGAAGCTTCAATAATCTGGACGGTATTTTCATTTTGGCTTTGGTTTTACCTAAAAAACAAGGTAACATTACCATTTTCAATTCAATTTTGATACCAAATTGAATCACTAATCCTTCATTACTTCAGTATCGTCATTAAATTGCAACCATTGTAAGCTGATTATGAAAAGATTGCTACAAAAATCAGCCATTAATTTGGGAAACAATGAAATGAAAAATGGTAATTTCAGCTTGACAGACTTTTCAGGTGATTCAAATTATTTTACCAGCAATGTTTAATGTTTAATCAATGAACAAGATGTTAATAAAACTGTAAATGATTAACAAGTCGATTAAGGTGAAGTTACCTTGGTGACATTGATTTGATTTACGCGCTGCATAAAATTTATCATAACGCAATGACCATTACTAAGCAAAAAGAAGCATTTTCATGCTTATAATGAAATCTATTTTTTGATTTTATTTTTGTTATTACTTCAAATTGTGTGTTAATAACATTTCAATGTTGATGTTTACACGCAAATTATGCCTTCTATTATCATGGGTTTACATTCGCTGATTGTTATTTGATTGATTTGTACACTACAATTTACTGTGATTACTTTGCGTGTTTTACCTTTTGTTGTGTCTCTCGTATTACAAGTGTGTACAAATGTGTATAAAAGTCAACATGTTTTTTTAGCAATCCATTTGGGTTTTGGGTTCTCATTTGGTCAATAAGTTAACCCAATCTACACAGTGGCCTAATTTTCATTTTATGTCTTCAATGTTATCTTTACAGTGATTATATTCAACAAAATGATTATACAGTCTATAATGTTATAATCATTAACCAACAAGGATCATCTTTTTATTATGATATACGGTGACATCATTAATTTGTGTTACTTTTACATCATTTAAAATGTAGATTTTACAATTGATATTATCAAAAAACGGCCAGTTTCTCTTTGATTTACAATTGTTATTACATTAAATTTGTTCCTGCAATACAAATATGTATTTCAATTTGTCTCACCATTCCTGCTTATCTTCACAATATTAGATTATAATGGTGATATAATGATCTTCATCATGAATTATCGTTACAATTCAGCTGAGCATTAATTTGTTGAAGGCAAACTAAATCATATTATGTTTTAAAAATATGTAGAGAAAGAGAAGAGCAAATTGATGAGAAATTAACATATAAATTTCAATTTAATATTGATAATAACAATAACAATTTAATGAACATGGAGATGTAAAGTGAAAAGGCCTAAACATTTTATAATACAAAAGAGCCAAAAGAGAGTGTATTAACAATAAAAACAAATGATAGGAAAAGCAATGTTAATATGTAAGAATTAATGTTAAATGAGAAGGAAATAATGATGATTAAAATGATGATTTTGTCCTGTATTCAACTTATCAGGCCCAATGATTAATGATTTATAATTAATGTACAAATGAATGAAAAACGAGTTATAATAATGAACATTGAAAAAGATGATGAAAACATGGAAACAAAAAAAACCAAGTGAAACATCAACAGTGATTCAAACCAAAAGTGTATGTTAATGGTTATGTTAATCCATATCTGTGTGAGTGTTAATTGTTTAATCATAATCACAGCCATTTGACTTGTAAACCATTACAATTCAATCAATCATATCGTATAATAAGGCTGCATATAATCAATAAATTGTCCTGATTTCCATACAGTCAGACCAACAATTGAAGTCAATCTTTTATCAAGGCGTTTCACGTTTTCTCAGGGCCAATTTTAATATCTAATATAATTTAAATTATCGTAAATTTACCACCAAATTTCCATGATAATTTACAATTTACTCGCTTATTATACCGTGAGATGGTTTTAATACCAATTATGGTTAACAAGACAACAATAAACATGCAAACGGTGAGGTCAACAACTCAAATTGTTATGGTCAATCATAATAATAAACATATGATATTACATGAATTTTCAATTTCTGATCACCATATTGACCGTTATTCAAGGTATTACACGGAATAATCACTATTCTGTATTCTGATATTTAATATTCAGGTCACAGAATTGATCAGAAGAAAAAAATTGCGAAAATTGAAATTATTTTAAAATAAGCGCCAAATAATTCACGTTTCCCTTGATTGGGGGTGAAATCACATTTTGTTTATTCATCCATTATTTACCAATCGAGTTAACATAATTTTAACAATTTTTTTATTGATTTATTGTTGAACATTATTCAATTACTTTATAATTTTGTTGCCATCTTAATCAATTATTAACTCACATCTTTCATATTCCCATCAATAATACAACAGCGAGAAAAAAACTAGCAACCAAGATTAAGTATTTTTATTCGTTTTTTTGTCTGGTCTTAATGGATTGGGATTCATCTTTTTCCACTGTTTTGTACCTTCTTTTGTATTAACCAGAATAATTTTCATTTGATTATTGTTTAACTTTAATCAGATTAATATATCATCTTTCTCTCTTTATGTGTGTTAATTAACTCGTTCAAGCTCTTTCCTTTCTCCAAATAATTTATCTGTGATGGAAAATGATTTCTCAGAGGGAATCAAATCTTTGTATTAACCCATTTTTCAACCCATCAGGACCTTCAACAAGTTTTTCTGGTCTTCCAAATAGGTATGAACAACGGAACTATTTAATATCTATTTTTCAATTGTATATTTTATACGTAAGTATTGTTTTAAAATAATATTGTAATTTCAATGTTAAAACCAATTAATCTAATAACGTTTTCCTCTTGACCATTCCAGATAACCTTATGATTTCATTTTTTTGTGGTTTAATGCTTGTGCTTTCCTTAATCAATATCATTATCTCCATCATCGCTATTATCATTATAATTATTACTTTCATCTTTACCTTGATCGAGATCGAATTGCTCTTGTTAATAAAACACAATCTATTTCAGATTATATCTGAACAACATTCAATCAATCATGTAATCAAGATTCCTTAACTCAATTGCTTTCATTTTTATCCTTCACCACCATAATCATCATCATTATCACCATACTTTCAGAATCTCATTCTGTACCCTTGTCTTGTTTCATTGGATTGATTATCAAGTCAATCGACACTTAACCTGGTTATAAAGGATGAAAATGAGACTAAGTAATTGGAAGATGAATTTCAGTCAAGATGAAAATGATGATTTTACTTTTTTATCGTTATCATAATAATATCATGATGGTGTCTATTTTTCATAAATATGATCATCAAGATGAAATGATGAAAAAAAGGGCGACAACGATGGAGATGAGAAGAGACGAAAATTTCATTGATCGATAAAGTTGAATGGTTCATCTGAATTAAATCCCAACATTGGCATAAATCTACATTAAAATAGAACCAAATAAACCCATAAGAATTATTATTCTCATCATAATCACCCTTTTATTCCTAATTGTGCGAGTTGATGAAAATCTGTCAGGGGAAAAAAGGCAAGATCAATGCTCTACAAAGATTAACCCAAATTGAACCAGAATCTTAATCTTGTCGAAAGCAAAATTCCTTACTCAGTATCAACATTATTCAAGTGATCATCTTACATCTCATTGTTTCAACTTTAATCTTCCCTCATTCATCTTCCCAATAGATTGCTGAGTTGACCCTTTTTCAGACTCAAAGGCCTTTCACCAAATTTCAATTCAACCTCAGACATTATCCAAGTTTATTTCACAAAGCAAACTCAATTTCAACTCTAGCCATTGCTTCAACTACTAATTGTGATTTTAATGTTTTATTTCTGATTAAATTGCACGAATCTTCTGGTGAATCATAAATCGAGTGAAAACACTTTAAAAAGAAGCTTCAACTTACATAAATCATTATGGCTCAAATTGTTAGCTGATTATTAATACATATATTTAGCAGTTTAATTAAGGGCTGGGTCAATGATTTGCATGAGGCGATAAAAGAAAAATTATCTTCAATAAAGTCATGAATAGTGAAAGAAAAAGTATCAGAATAGTTCAATTCTTGTAAACTAATAATGCTAATAGCATTGTTAAGGGTCAATGTCAAGTGAATTATTTATCAATATTAATTCAACTCCACCTTAACAGGTAAAGTTAATGATAATGATGAGCCTCATCATCATCATCATCAATATTACAATGAACATCATTAGCAAGAAAATAAATATTTTCCTACTTTTATTAGCAAATAAATATTTCCATTGACTAACAAGTTAATCATTAACAAGTAACTTCCAAATCAAGCAACATTACAATTACAACTAAAGATTCAATGTAACCTTAATCATGACAATTAGAGGAAAAAATTAAATTATTTTTCCAAAGATTTGTGTTTTACAAAAAAAAGGTTTCTTGAAAGGAACAAGACTTTCAGGGATTTTTTGTTCATCTTCTGAATCTCTTAATGAAAACATAATCTAATTACAATGGAAACATTTATCATTATTACATTTTAATTGTCATTACAGGATTAAAGTCTTACATTGTAACTTAATTATCTTTTTAATGGTTTCAATGATTCAAAGTAAATTCAAATCTGGAGCAACTTTCAAATGGTAAACAAACTGCCATTGAAGATCAATTGAGCTTAATTTATATTCAATTGTTAATTGATTAGCTGTTAGATTGAAGTATAAAGATTGTTAAAGGTGGCAAAGATGAACAATCAAGTTTCCTGAGAAAAGAGCAATTTATAAACTAAAAGTTGAAGCTAATTAATCAGTAAATTGTTGCTATTCCCTGAAGCAAATTATTTTTGATTATAACCAAAGCTTGTCACTTGTAACTGATAATTAGACGCAAAGGTTGACTCTTAATACATGTTTAATAGTAAAAAATTAACGTCAAAATAAACTAATTAATTGTTTCCAATCGTTGCGATTCAGATGATTAAAGACTATATTCAATGGACAATCGTAACTGTAACAAGTTGCTAATCTGGTTTTCATCTCATGATTATCATCCAATCATGGACAACAATCAATAACATCATTTGTTTCAATTTTCATTCAATTATCAACTTCAACAATAAGGTAAACCAGTTGATCGGATTGATTAAATAAACTCATTTGATGCGTTTTGTTTTCACATCAACATTTCCTAGTTTCATTATTCAAGGAATGGAAACAAAAGGTTCAACTGAAACCCCTGAATTTGAACAAAATCAGGTTAACAGTGATATTGCTTCCCATTTACACTTGAAGGTGTCTCTTTGCATAAAACCTTTTGGATTGCAGTGAAACTTGTTTCTCCTTTTACATTTGTCAGTATTATTGTGTTATTTGGTTGACTTGCTTTTAACCTTTTTTTTGTGTCTTCAAGCCGAGAATGACAAAGTTACATGGAACACTTTTTTCCATCTCTTTTTTTCTCTCTCTCCATCATTTTCAACTTGCATGGTTGTTCAAAGGGAAACTTGGAATAAGAATGAAGATGATGAGTCTTGAAAATTATATCAATCTTGTCCAGACTCACGATGAGTGTCCATTGTTAATCGAGGTAAAAGTCTACTCATGACCTGAATACAATTTACTCTTTGAAAATGTGTGAAGGTTTACAGTCAGTTTTACCCAATTCATGTTCACAGTTCAAGTTAATTGTAAACCAAAAAGTGAGTTCAACTGATTGACTGAATAATTGTCAAATAAATTGATGGTAAAACTGGTCAAAAAAAGAACCTTTTCTCTACCAAAATTTACAATCTATTTTAAATTGCAATTTAGATTCTTTTCATTCTATTTTTTCACCTTTTCCACTCGATTCCTTTCCTTGTTTCCCCTTTGAATTATTTTGCCATCATTGAACCTTTTCCATGTTATCAAATTCAATCAATTGATCAAAGCTGTGAATTTAAATTCAATGAGAAATGACAATTTTCATCTTTCATTGGATAACCCAAACATTTTATTCAACCTGACAAACTGATATCACTTTGGATATCAAGTAAATGCTGAGGAAAAAATAGAAACATTGAAATGGAATAATGTTGAATATCTTTTTTTACATGAATATGGAGATTCACCTAATTGAGTTGATCTTTCAATAGACGGTCCAAGATGATAATGACGATGAAAACTGTCTTCTTAATGATCAATCTTGCAACATGTTTGTCAACTCTATTGACACAATATTAATGACATCGTCATTTCCATCTTCATTTTCATCCTCCTTTTCCCATCTTCATCCACTTTTCACTCCTTCCAATTGTGAATAAAACGTTTTCCCTTTTCATCATTTCTCTTCTTCTCTTCCTCCTCTTCCAGTCACTTTTCCTTTCATTATTTTCAGTCCATTTTGCCTGTTCATCATCTTCAAGGAAAGATCATCTTGATTTTCTGATTATTTTCACCATTCATTCCGTTCATCTCATTGTTTATTCCAATGCACTTAGTACTCTTTGACCAGCTTTTGATCCCTTTCGTCCTCCTCCTCCTTTCATCATTATCATCCTTTTTCTAGTTGTTTTCATTTTAATATATTATTCTTTATCCTTTCAAGTCACCAAATTTCCTCTTTCGCCCAAAGTAACAATCAAAATACTGATTCCAGTTTCACTGGGTTTTACCATTCATATCCAACTTTCATTATTAACAAAAATGAAGGTGAAAATCGCCCAAATTTAATCCACTCTGAGGTGTAACTCGGATCATCACATCTGCCAATGCTATTGATTAGGGAAACAAAAAGAGTAACAAACCTTTTCCCAAATTCACCCACAAACTAACTGTGATTAGTTTGATGGCCATTGATCAACATTCAGTAGCTAGAAATTTCAATTCTTAATCATGATTGAAACTTTACATGTTGATACTTTAAAGGCTCATTTTCACGAATCTTCATAAACTTGAAATGCCAATTGCTATCAACTCAACAACTGATATTTGATTTCTGGAAAATTTGTGTTTCCATTGAAATTTTACTCTAATTACAAGTTGCTTTTCATTATTTCAGCAAAACTTTTCCATTGAATCGATGCAAAAAAGTCAATTCTCATTATTAATAAATGAAAATTATCTCATTTTGAACTTTTTTATCGTCTGTAAATTGATCAGGAAAATTGTAAATTATTTCATGTTCACTCCTCAAAGGATTCAATATATTCATATCAAGTTGACTATTTTTGCACAATTACTATAATTGAGTTAATTTGCAATGTTTATGAAGTTACCTTGCATAGTTAATTTTGTTTACTCACTTACAACTAAACAAAAATTATGATTGAAAATGAAGTTTCAAATGCAAATAATACATTTTTACTCAATTTACATGAAAATGCAACTTACCGTATTCACTTTTCTTCCTCCTTCATCTCAATAACTCTCAGATTATGTTTATCTTGATTCACGACTTTTCACAACGTTCATCATTTTCAGTGTTAATAGAGTAAAAGAGTGAAGAGAGAAGAAAAAAAAAGTTTCAAAAGATAACTCAGAAACTGTGATGTTATGAATGAAAGCTCACTCTGTTTACCCTGTTAATCTGTCAAATTATGCAAACCATTTTGAATAACAACACAAAAATGATAATTCTGTGAGTCGAGGAAAAAAATGCAACTTTTCCAGCGAAAATCTGTAGAAATAAAAAAACGTGTTTGCGTTTTTTACATAAACTTTTATACTCAATTTATCAAGAAAAAGGCAACTTTTTGACTTACCTCACGCTCATTGCATAGACAAATCATTAGTCTCTGTGGTTTGTCTTGATATCAAGGTATTTCTTGTTCTCTTGTTCTCCTCTTTTCATCTTCTCCCCAAACTTGCCTTAACATTGAAGATGATTATGGTGATGATGTTACCAGCTTCATGAGACAGAAACCTCATAAGCTTTTGATGCCATTTATTTCAGTTACCTAGGTCATCCATTTTCAACCAATTACTGCCAATTCTGAGAAAATTTTTCTCCTCAAATAAAACCTTTTTCCAAGCTTCATTTTTCCTATTTTTCCCTCCCTGACTAATGGTAAACTTTTTTTTGCTTTTCTAGTGATTTTTGTCTCTCTTCTCATCTTCATCTTGCAACCTTTTCTCATCACTCTCATTCAACTTTCTTCTCATCATCTTTGTATAGCTTTTGTATAAAAACACATGATCATTCCCCTTAAGGTTTTTTTCTTCATCAGAATCTTTTATCCCGAATAAGAGAAGCAAAGCAAACAGGGGAGAAGATGAAAAGGATGAAGATGGAAAAAGAGAAACTCTTTTCATTCAAAATACTAAAAGTATTAATGTAAGGATGAACAAAAAAGAGGAAGAAAAGTCTTGAAAAATGTTTCCAAACAACACTGTATTGTTTATTGAACCCATCAAATGGCCTTGTTTTTTTCACTTTTGTGACAAATTTCGATGTCTTTTGATTTTTCCTGATTTCTCCTCATGATATTCTGACTTTTCTTAAACCTTCATTTATTCCCAATCCTAAATAACACAATAATCAAAGTACGATTAACATCCATTTCATCTCTTTTTTTTCATGTCAACTTGAGTCCAATTTATATTACATTTTGTTTAACACAAATTGACACAAATATTAAATCACATTTAAACTTTTTCTCATTTTCTGTAACATCTAAATGGTTATAAATACAAAGCTATTTAAAGTGTTGCTCATGTTTTATCATTAAATACTGAATGGACTGAGGGACAAAAATAACGACACAAGACTTTATCGATTTTTAAAGGTCACACTGAACATCATTACCGTAAAACCTTGATTAATGCACAAAAATGTGGGTTAAGCTTCCAGGAAAAATCAGTCGGATGGAATTGTTTGAAGACTCACTGAAAATTAGACTAATAATGAACAGTAGATGGAGTTTTATGCATTAACTAAGGTTTTACAGTTTCATTGTA